ACTTTATACTCCAGAAAGATGGTTTCGCATCCAAATTAGGTAAAAATAAATTTTAAAAATTAAATTGGTAATTATTTAGCATTTTAAGTTGTGAAGAGTAATTTATCCTCTGATCAATTAGTAATTGTGTTATTATTGTCATGGGCTTGCTATATGTTTGTCATTATGTGTTGGTAGAATTTTTTTAAATAATTGAATGTCTGATTTCGATGTAGTTGTTAAGATATTCATAAATGTAGTGGTTAAGATATTCAATAAAAATCGAAAACAAATATATAAAATATAAAAGATCAATAGAATTTTCCAATTTTTTCATTGCTTTAATCATCATAAATTCTTTTTCTTTAGTTTGTTTGTTTGTTTTTTTTTTTTTTTTTAATATGTTTCATTTTTTTAAATTTTTTTTATATATCAATGTAATAAGGATAGAAAAAGCAGAGTTAGAAAGGAGTATATCCATAAATGGGTAGGAGTAATACTGATAGAAAGATAAGTGGAAGAGAATAAATTGACATGATTTGGTCATATACAACGGAAGTAGTGAAGAAATGTAATAGAGTAACGGTAGATGAAACTGTTGGGGGAAAGGAAAGACTTAAATTGATGTGAGTTAGTGTAATGAATAGAGATATAAATCTTCTTAATTTAATAACCAAATGGTCGTTAATAGAGTCGAATGGAGAAGAATAATTCATATAACCGATCTTATTTGATAGAACTTAGGGTGTGTTTGATTGGACTGATTGGATAAGGGGGATTAGAGTCCATCAGACTTGAGTCCTAGGACTGTGAAGCCCCCGGACTATTTGGTTGGATTAGATATGTATCCTATATTTGTTTTTTCATGGGATTAGATGTCCTGGAATTGATTATTTTTAGTGAATCAAACGTTTGATTAGAGGACTAAATAAGATAAATGATCAAAAGACTATTTACTCTTTTTTTAATTATCTACTAAGTAATAGCATATTTAAACATATCTTTCATATTTTAATTTTTAGCTAGATTAAATAAAATTTTTTTTATTTTATTTTTTACACAATTAAATAAATTTATTTTTTTAAATTAAATAAATATAAATATCAATAAAAATATATGTTATTTTTTTAATTAAAATGTTAATAAATTTATCTTTTTTTAAAAAAATAATAATTAAATAATGAAATTAAATAAAACATCCATTAAAATTTAAATAATGAATTAAATAATATAAACAAAATTTTAAAAATACAACTCAATAAATATCTATAAAAAATTATTTTAAAAAAATTAAATAATAAATATCAATAAAAGTAAACAAATTATTTTATTTTTAATTGAGACATTTAAATTTTTTGAATTTTACGAAATAATAATACATATTAAATAGTAGAGGGTCAAAATGGTCGTTTCATCACCTAATCCCAAAATGGATAATCCCCCAAAATTGTCTCATACCCCCTAGAATACGATAGTCCCCATATAAGGGATAAGGAATCCGGCCAGACTCTATATTCGGCGGACTAAAAAAAAATAAACGCCGGATAAAAAGCCTCATCGGAATTACAATCCTAATAGTAAATAATTCTCCCTTATCCCCCAATCCAACACGCCACAGCCCAATGTTTAATTTGGATTGGTTTATCAATGTAATAACAGTAAATTAACAAATGGAAAATTCCATCAATGGCATTTTTCCACCTGGCTTCAGTTGCCTAGCGCGCCAACGTCTTCCTTTTATGGCATTTCTATATGGGCCCATTTTTTCGAGGCTCCATCAGCCCAATAAAGTTTCTTCACCCGAAGCCCAAAGTATTGGCATCGGCCCATATCACAATGTTGATAAATTTTGTGAGAAATATAATAAATAAAAAATTCACTATTGAGGTTTTCTTAAAATTTAAATTGTCTTATGTGATTTTAAAATTATATTTCATTTTTTAAGTTTTTTATTTGCATTACAGATGAACCCTTTTATTAATAAATTATCAAATTAATAATTTTAATGATATTAGAATATATTTAAATTAACAATTCATATAATTTTACTATTGTTATAGAAAAATAGTTAGAAATTTTATTTTATTTTTTGTTAATTCTATTAAAACAAATCTTGACATGGGATATTTGTAATTTCTAAAATTACAGAGGATAATTTGTATTTTAAGTAAACTTTAGAGATGTATTTGTAATTTACCTATATAAAATTATGAATTTACAAATTTTAAGCACCTAAATTTTTTGATCAAGTAGGAAGTGTTATTGTACCCTCAAATTTTGTACAATTAAATCTCCGCCACATAAAAATAGAAAATTCTATTCTTACATAAAAATCTCTCTAATGAGAATTAATTTTTGTGACTTTTTATGAAAATATATATAAAAAAGTAAAAATAATAATTGACTTTTTGTATTAATTTTTTTTTTTTTCTAACTAATTTTGCCTATTCTCAAACAAGACCTAAGATAACTCTAGGAAAAATTACTCTAGAATTTCCAAACGCACTCAACTACGCTAAAGTTAATTTACTTGTCATGTCATGATGTGTGAATTATGAAACTTAAATTACGAACTTATAGCATTTCTTTTTTAAAAAAAATTAAAATTCGAAAATGTTAACCCTATACATGCTTTCACAAAATAATCTCTGGTAATCAATATCATCCGCAACAATTCAAAATTGCAAACGTGATCCATAAATTCCTGCTAAATACTATCCATAAATCCAACATTAATTCATATTCATCATCCCACACAAGAACTCAAAACAAAACAACTTAAGAAGTCATACGCATCCATCAAAAGTAACAAAATAAAATAAAATAAAAATAAAAACACAATCATCCATTATGAAATCAGAGCATGTGTGGTCTGGTCTATCCATCAAGAAATCTGAGCATTTGAGAGTGGTCCATTATGTATCCATCTCCAATCTGTGAAACAAATTAACAAAACAATCTAAAACAAAAAATATAAATATAAATATTGAGGTCATTTGAATTTTAATACTTCATGAATACACAATCTCGGAGAGAGTTTAGTCAGATATTTGGATCAGCCTGCATAGCATGACTGAAAACTAAAATTCGATAAAGTATATATCCGAGTTTATTTTTCCTAAGAATTCAGCTTGGATATATTTGTAGTCCTCAAAATGTGTTTTTGTTATTCTTCTAATTTTTTATTTTGCCAATTCCATTCATAAATTTTCAAATTTGAGTTAAATTGACTCAATTTCATTAATAAATTTTACTTACGGTCCCTAAAGTGCGTGTTATGTGTCACTTTGATCTTTGAAGTTTTATTTTTGTCAAATAGTACTTAAAGCACTTTTAGGATACACTTTGTGATACTTATTAGCGTTTACGGATCAAAGTGACAAAATTAAAAAATTTGAAGAACAAAATGACACCAAACAAATAGTTTAGACATCAATGAGGTGTGTTTATTATGATTTGTATGCAGAATGATGTAAAAGTATTAGACTTTATCGTTTTAAAGAAAAGTGCTCATTTAAATGATTTTCAGCACAACATTTTAGTAACAAATTCAGTTGAGGTTGAACTAATTTGATTCAATTTGACAATTTTGATGATAAGTTTGATTAAATTGAAATTTGAAAAGAATCAAAGTCAAAAAGAGTCGTAACCCATTATTCATGTTGGAATGGCAATTCTAGCTCTTCTTGCTGGTCCTCCTGTTCCAAGAAGTTTGTTCCTGATCAAATGCAACTGACTTAGAACATCTTTAATGTCCATTCGATCTTTTGGCACATCCTCTAAACATGCAACTCTTGTTGGAAAATTTGGTTTTTGTAAGCTTATTTTGGGCCAACTTTGAGCCCAAAATTGAGTGAGTCTCACACGCCTTTTGGAGTGGGTCCAAAGAGGTGACGTGTTGCTTGGCACATGACAAGTACATGGTGTAAAACGGTTCGCCAAAACCATTTATCAGTGAATGGAAAGTTGACGTTATTTTTAAGTTCGTGGAATGACAATTAAAGAATAAAATGTGAATTTCCTTGTAAGGTTTGTCCCACATTGAAATTTTAAAAGAGCTTGTGTATGTATATAAGCTTTAGGTGGCAAACACTTGGGTTGGGCTCCAAAGAGCACCCAAGTTTTGTAGAAGGAGGAGTTATAGACAAATGAACTTTGGCATAAACCACCACCGCGCGTGCCCGCGGTGGCTGCCGATGAGCCGTGCCGAGCACGAGTGTGGGTTGGGTCAGTTCTATATTAATTTTTGGACAAAATGTATTTAAATTCTTGCAGGAAAATTAATTTTTTTGAATGACATAAATTCAAATTTTGTGCCAAATTTGAATTCAAATTTTCTAT